ACTTGGAATTAGTGTCTGAATTAACAACAATAGCTTTTTTTGAAGCGTTTCATCGTTTTGTTAATCGTAGAGGAAAACCTCAAAATATTTATTTCGACAATGACTCTAATTTTGTAGGAGCAAATAATGAACTTTCACAGATTTCAGAGTTTTTAAAGAAAAATCAAGAAAATATTCAAACTAAATTTTCCCTTGATCATATGCAGTGGCATTTTATACCTGCAAATTCGCCCAATTTTGGAGGTATTTGGGGGGCAGGTATAAAGTCCTCCAAATTTCATTTAAAACGGCTTTTAAAAGAGTCCTTAACCTATGAGGATTTTTATGCGTTACTTGTAAAGATTGAGGGAATACTAAACTCGCGACCACTATGTCCGTTGAGCGAGGATCCTGATGATATGGATGCACTAACCCCAGTTCACTTTTTGATTGGAAAGAAAATTACTTCCCTTCCCGAAATAGATTTAAGAGACACCCCTGAAAATCGTCTCAAGAGATGGCAACATTTTCAAGCCATTTCACAACATTACTGGACCCGTTGGAGCAAAGAATACCTGTCAGAACTGCAGACTCGAGTAAAGTGGCGAAAGAGTGGATTCGCTCAAAAGGTAGGAATGTTGGTGCTTATCAAAAATGACAATTCACCAAGTATGGCGTGGCATTTAGGACGAATAACCAAGTATGTTCCAGGAAAGGATGGAGTTATAAGAGTGGTCGAATTAAAGATAAAAAATGGACTTATAACTCGTGCCGTAACCAGAATATGTGTGCTGCCTGATCAGAACAATTAAAATTTGTGATAGTTTTTTTTTAATGTTGGTTAAAATGGCATAATTATGTTTGAATGACTTTAGCTATTCTAGGCGCGCTGCATTTTAAGTCTATAATTTCTTACTTTAAAACTAGGTCACGCTATCGTGATATATAAAAAAAAATAATATCAACTTGACATGCAACTTGCCAAAAAATACCTAAAATTTCAACATTTGTAAAATTAATAAATTTTTATAAAAGATTATATTTTAAAACAATAAACCTATAAAATACAGTCCATTACTCATCGTAACACAGCGTAAAGGTATAATGCAAATAAAATATTATTTTTGTTTTGTCCGGAGCAATTGTCTGTATAAAATGTTACATCAACAATTTTATTTTCTTCAAGCAATGCTTTTTCCTTTAGTTCATTAGTCCATATAGTTCCAGACATATTAGTTGATTTCATTAGCTCCCCTATTTGCCTCACCCTCATGCCAAACATAACACACTACAACATCATTTTTTTGTAGAGCTGACAAAAGTCAAATTGCACACATTAAGCTTAGATATATAATAGAAAAACGAGGCATTTCAAAGAGGTCAGGGTAGAGTCGCTTGAAATTTATAGGAAACAATTAATTAATTTTCTTCGTTGATTTTTTCTCTCTCTTTTCGTCTTAAATCTTTTTCAGTTAAGTGAGTTTTATATTTATCTTCAATTAATTGCTTTCCTTCTTCTGATGCATTTTTATATTCCATGCAAAGTTCACATTGGTCCTTTTTTAGAAAAAAGAATACAATATTAAATTATTTTGTAAATACGTCGTAGTATGTTCGGTACGAAGTGGACTATATTTTTATCTTGGCACCAAACTTTGTAATCCCTGTAAAGGTCAGCAATAGTTTTTGATCCTTCTATAAATTCTCTTTGGGTATCGGCACGGCAATAATGACTTTCTAATCTTGGTATCAGTTTAATATGCTCTTATTCCCTTCTTTATATTTTTGTCAACTGATTGGTGATGACCATGTTTCCCCTTGAGATCTTCTGTTATATTTCCGTGAGTTTTTTGGGATTCTTGTTTTTCTACTAGTGTCCTTAAGGTTCTGATTGTTATTGTTAAAGTGAATGTAAAAAATGTTCTGCAAACTCGGATCTTTTTCCCATCAAATTAAAAATAGAAAGCGTGATATTGACGTCTGTGGTTTTGAAGATTTGAATATCTATATTTTGGGGAAATGCCAGTCATTAAGTTTGCAACAAAATCTCTTTGCCTTTGTAAGTTTTTTAAACCCAAATATTCATTAAAAATACATTGATATATTATCTCTACATTTGAGGCGACAGTTTTTGCAAGGGGGAAGTAATTTTTATGGATGAAGAGTGACTAATGTCTTGGATTTAGTACCATCCTCATTTTTAGTAACTTTAATTGATTGGTAACTTTTTCCACTGTTTTTAAGTTGCTTTGCAATGTTTTTCTTTTATTGCATGCTATTGTTATTCCTTTTTCTGCCCCTTCTTTTAACAGGTGGATCTTCTTCAACGTCTTCTATTTCTCCATCATTTCTATCATCGGGGGCGGCGGCGGCATCTCGCACATCACTTTCAGACGATGACTCAGATGAAGCTTGATAGTCCCGATCATTTTCTGAAGAACCAGAGCCAAATGGCTCAGAGTGATCTGATGAACTGTGAGTACTTAATGTACTTATAGAACTACTACAAGCCTCACCCGGATTGATACCTTGGCTAGATATTAAATCTTGGGCTCCTAAAAATCATCATATTTTGCAAAATAAAAAGAATAAATAACTTATTTAACCTACCTTCTTCTGTAATAATTTCGGTCTGCAAAACAGGTTCGTTATTAGAATTTGAAGCATCTACGTTCGCTGGTAACTTACTTTTAACAGATTTCTAAATATCTTAATGTGATTCGGTACTTGAATGGTATAGACGAATTTTGCACATAGGCTCTTCAATATTGTAACCTTCTAAATTTTTTTCATTCATTGTAAGATTAAAGAAGATCTCTTTCCCTTTTCTGCCATTATGATTAAGCTAAAAAATAAATAAAAAAAACAAATGCATGCGAAAAAGCTAAAAGTAAGAAATATAGTAGACTATCTTTGTTGAAAGTTTTAGTGCAGCTAAATAAAATAGGGGCTAATATTTAAATAAGTATTTATTTTTTTTAAACATTTTGTTTCTAATAATTCGACAAAACTGGCACAATTAATAAAAAACACTATAGGCAGAAACAAATTAGGCATTTAAAATGAGCCTAAATTTCCAGGGAGACTGTCTCAAATTGAATAATACTTTATAGGAACAAATTATGGGATTAAAATGAACTTATATTTCCAGAAAGACTGTCTCAAACTGAAATATAACAATATTGGATACATGCGGATATAAAATAATACTTACTTTTTCGGACTTAAACGACACAAATCGAAATGTCACCATTTTGCTCAAATATTTTAGGATATAGTACAGTGACTTTTCGATTTTGCGACGTTTTTACTGTAAAAATAATCACAAAATGTAGATCGGAATTGACACTTTTTGATGTGTGACAGTATTCTTCACAAATGTACAATGTCACCTGTGCAAAAGTCACGGCATTACTATACTGGTACGGTCTTCCACACTAATCACTTGCGAATACCGAGAAGTGTCGCACGGTCCTAGTGACATCTATCGGATAGTAATCAAAATTAATTTGTGTTGGTTTAGCTGGTAGAAGAGGTCGTGTTTTAAGTAATATTGGTGCAAAAAACCCAAAATTGACAAATTTTTGAGTTGTGACAGTCTTGTCGGAAAGCAGCGATATATTAGGCTATGCCATCTTCCTTGTACACTTTTAACTGTCACTTTAAAGGATTTAATGTTTATTAGTTATTTCTGCTCTTTTTCTGTGTATTAATATTAAACAGTTTATTTTTATAAATTCGCTTTTTTTTCAATAAAATATTTGATTTAGGTACTTCTGTATATTATTGAATTTTCATTGGATGAATGTATCCCACCCGATGGAGGAAACTGCCTCACTGGTAATGTACATACCGTCATTTGCAATAAAAAAATTATGTTATGATATAAAAGTTGCGGAAAATGTAGATAAATATGCAGACTAACTTTTGGTTACATCATTTTTTAATTGGTTAACGATTTTTAAAATTGTGTTTTAATAAGTACACGAATGTACCAACCTTTCCCCAACACTTGTTTACATACTACAAATAATATTAGAAAGATAATAATTGTTTTATTTTATGGACACATTTATTTTCCTATTAGAGCAAGTCCTATACCATTATTATAGACTTATCGAGGAGCAACAGCTATGACTCTTTTAATTTCAAGAAATATAATATGCAGACTAACTTTTGGTTACATCATTTTTTAATTGGTTAACGATTTTTAAAATTGTGTTTTAATAAGTACACGAATGTACCAACCTTTCCCCAACACTTGTTTACATACTACAAATAATATTAGAAAGATAATAATTGTTTTATTTTATGGACACATTTATTTTCCTATTAGAGCAAGTCCTATACCATTATTATAGACTTATCGAGGAGCAACAGCTATGACTCTTTTAATTTCAAGAAATATAATATGCAGACTAACTTTTGGTTACATCATTTTTTAATTGGTTAACGATTTTTAAAATTGTGTTTTAATAAGTACACGAATGTACCAACCTTTCCCCAACACTTGTTTACATACTACAAATAATATTAGAAAGATAATAATTGTTTTATTTTATGGACACATTTATTTTCCTATTAGAGCAAGTCCTATACCATTATTATAGACTTATCGAGGAGCAACAGCTATGACTCTTTTAATTTCAAGAAATATAATATGCAGACTAACTTTTGGTTACATCATTTTTTAATTGGTTAACGATTTTTAAAATTGTGTTTTAATAAGTACACGAATGTACCAACCTTTCCCCAACACTTGTTTACATACTACAAATAATATTAGAAAGATAATAATTGTTTTATTTTATGGACACATTTATTTTCCTATTAGAGCAAGTCCTATACCATTATTATAGACTTATCGAGGAGCAACAGCTATGACTCTTTTAATTTCAAGAAATATAATATTTTGACGAACATTTTTTGACTTATTTTATATACTTATTTGGCAAACGAATTAAGATACGATGCCCCAACTTTACAAAAAACATAAAGTATTTTATATATAGATAATTTACCTGAAACCTTAGTTTTTCTACTGGAGGAATCGCATAGGGTATGTCTAGGAAAGCATAAAAAGGAGTTTGATTATTGGTTATAAACCTCTTTCCTTTAATGGAACCTTCTGAGACAGTAACAGTGGGTTGACATTCCTGAAATTAAAGATAGAAACCATTTATTTCAGTAGAAAACTTTTTTCTTAAATGCTTAAATATTTTATTTAACAATAAAATATGAATATTAATTGTGAGAATTTTTTCGTTTCATTTCCTTGAAAACATTTAAAAATCCAGCTATCTTGGGAGCAACATAGGATCGGAATTTTATTTTCTATATTGAGATCTGTTGAAAGACTCAAAGATTGGGATCGATAACTTTAGAATTTGGCGTACCAAAATAATACAGTTACACCGCCAAATTTTTAAATTAATAAAATGGCGTATTCACAAGAAACAGTTACCTGACTAGTAGAGGATTATTTTTTTAGGTTGATTTTTATTTATTTTGTATAGTTGTATATGTAAATGTTAGGCAGTAATTTAATGCCCGGAATTTTTAAAAAAATGCTGACATAGTTGCCATATCGCTTTTCCGGAAACAATGGCACAAGTGAAAATTGATGATTCGGCAGAAATCGCAAATTAAAAACACTGTAATATGACTTTAAGGAATATATTACAAGCACTAAGTGTCTAGGAGGCTTAAAGCTTTTTTATATTTTTTCCATCACTTTTTGTTTTCAGCTTTCCAGTTGGCAACGTTCAATATTTTAATATAATCTTCAAACTTCTTTCTCCATCTGTTTTTTGGTAGTCTTTTTCTTTTATTTCCTCCTAGTTTACTATCCAGTATTTTTCTCCGAATATTATATTTGTCTTTAGTAACATTTTAAAGGTAAGTATAAAGAGAAAAACGTGCAAATTTATAAAGAATGCCGTTTGATATAAGATATACAGGGTGATTCATAACTATTGGGACATAGGCTAAGAGAAGGTTATTTGGACCAAAATATGGCGATTGCACCAAATATACCTCTATAAAATATGGCTGTGGAATAAGATGTTATGTTATGTTGAGAATGGGGTGTTAATACACTGCGACCTAAAAGATCTATTGTGCCCCCTTCTGTCGCCACTGCACTAAGGAAATGTCTCAATGCCTATAGCGACCCTTCCAATCCTATTTTCTCAAGGAAGTGTAGGATTTGAAGTGGCTTCAAGTTAGGTAAATCTCCCTCTTCTATTTGATATCCTCCTAGATATAGTGCCCTTGGATTCTGGAGTGCTACACATTCAGTTAGGATGTGAATGGAGGTTTCGTCCTCCTCCTCACAGAATCTGCACTCACTATCCTCTACTACTCTCAGTTTACTTAGGTGTCCTTTTAGTCGGCAATGCCCGGTAAGGATCCCTGTTACAATACGTAGCCTGTTCTTGCTTAGGCAGATGCAAGCTTCTGATATTTTTTGGTTATATTCACCCAGAAGTATCTTGGTCTGTCTCAGCCCCAAGAGATTGTTCCAATTATCGGTTCTTCTACTACCCAATTCTTTTTTAATCTATCCTAATATGGAATAAGATACAGGGCGTTAAAGTTGAATTTTTTTTTTCGTTTTTTTTCTGATAATGTCACTGTTTATTTATGAATTGTTTACAAAATCAGCACAAAGGCATATCTTTGAAAAAGAAATATTGTTTTATGTAATATTTCACATTTTGTTACAGGGGGCGCCACGTGAATGATTCCTGATGATGAAATTAGGTGGTAACTTTTTTTGGCTAAACTTTTTAGTGCTTTTGATTAGAAAATATTACCTAAAAATTATTTCTACGTAATATTGGTACTCTTGTTTAAACACGATAATTTCACCTGTTTTCGAGAAAAACGTAATTGAACAGTTCAGTGTCTCAGAAGGGGATTCCAAATAACACAATAAGAAAACTTGTAACGTAAGGCTTTTATTTCAACGGTAAAGCAAAATTAAAAACAATTTAACATAGAAAAGCAAACTTAAATTAAATGTTCAATGTGACCTCCTCCGACTTCTAGTCCTTTTCTAATTCTTTTAATAAAGGACTTTCGGATGGCAAAGAAAATATTATTCTGTCCCCTTATAAAATTACCCGCATTTTCTATGTTCCTCCAGAGTTCGTCTCGTTTATTAATTTCCTGGGTGTAAACTAAGGACTTCATATGTCCCCATACATAAAAATCAAGAGGGTTATAGTCAGGACTTCTTGGTGGCCATTCAAAATTACTTCCTCTGCCAATCCAACGTTGAGGAAATATGTCACTTAGATAATTTCTAACAACTAATAGGAAATGAGGTGGAGCTCCATCCTGCATAAACCACATTTTCCTTCTTACATCTAGTGGCATATCATCCAAAATATCTCTAAAAGTATTTTGCAAAAAAAATAAATAGGAATCTCACTTTAAATTTGGAGGAAGACGATATGGCCCTAGTAGTTGGTCGCCTATAATGCCACATCAAATATTAAATTTAAACTAATGTTGAAAATGTCTTTCTTTACGAGCATGCGAGTTTTCTTCTTCCCAGTGATGACTGTTTCGATAATTAAAAACACCTCGTCTAGTAAAAGTCGCTTCATCGGTGAACATAATATTTTTAATAAAATTTCGGTCATTAAGTTTGTTGAGAATACGTTGGCAGAACTGTAACCGTCTTGGGAGATCTCTTAGAAGCAAATTTTGAACAGGAGTGATGTGATAAGGATGAAACTTTTCTTTTTTTAAAACTTTAATAATAGACGACTGACTTACTCCTGTTGTTATTGCCAGTTGACGTGAACTTACTTCAGGATTTTCATCTAATCGAACCAAAATTTCATCTTCTTCATTAGGTATGATTTGTTTCGGACGACCACCCAGATTTGTACTATGAAATGACCCGGTTTACCCAAACGATGAAATAGATTTGCAAAAGTTTTGTGATTTGGTTGCCTTCTGTCTGGATATAACAATTCATACCTTCTGGCTGCCATGCGACCGCAAAAATTTTCTTGTGCATATACACAAACCATATCCCGCATTTCTTCATTCGTAAAATGATTGTGACGAGGCATTTCAGTCGAAAAAGCTTTAAAAAATGCAACAATAGACTATAATCTCATAGCAAAAATAATTCATTGGCAAGAACTGACATTTACCAGACACAATTATCTGACAGTCCAAAGCACACTTTTCATAAATAAAATATCCTTCTGAGACTATGAACTGTTCAATTGCGTTTTTCTCGAAAACAGGTGAAATTATCGTGTTTATACAGGAGTATCAATATTACGTAGAAATGATATTTACGTAATATTTTCTAATAAAAAATACTAAAAAGTTTCGGCAAAAAAACTTATCACTTAATTTCATCATCAGGAATCATTCTCGTGGCGCCCCCTGTAAAAAAATGTGAAATAGTACATAAAATAATATCCCTTGTCCAAAGATATGCCTTTGAGCCGATTTTGATAACAATTCATAAATATACAGTGATATTATAAAAAAAAAACGAAAAAAAAAATTCAACTTTAACTCCCTGTATCTTATTCCAAAGCTATATTTTATTAAGGTATATTTGTTCATATCACCATATTTTGATCTAAATAACCTGCCCTTAATCTATGTCCCAATAGTTATGAATCACCCTGTATTGGTTATATATTCAACACTTATGAGGAAAGTCGTCTCATTTTCAACATGTATAAAGCAAAATTGTTTCAACAAACATAAAATACACTTATTGCAGCTACAAAGAACTATATTTAAGAGAACAAACATAGCAATTGCAAAGTATTCTTAAAATGTCTTTATTACTGCTGTATTAGTAATACTTATAAAACATCAATAAGGTAAAATGCTCTCAGAGAACACAAAAATATTCCTGCCGCTGGTTTAATGGAGCCAATTTGAAACATTTTAATATTTCTATTTTAACACGTTATTGGCTTGTTGATATTTAAATTAAAAAAATGGACATCTCACACTGTAAAAAGAATTAAAAAGCGGCGCATTTCGAAGAAAAGTCTTAAAAAATTATAAAAATGCAAATAAACACTCGGAAATTCCAACCATCCTGGTAGTATATTTTTATCAACTTTGTAATTTGACAAAATGCGATATTTTGTATTTTATTCGTCGTGGTTTATTTCTCTAGAGTAAGATTTTGACTGCAATAGAAACTATTAGTTCTTTAAGTCTGGTAATTATGGTGTCACTTTGAAAAAAGGTCGCGAACATTTGGTCGCGCGAAAAAATGTCGAGCACAAATAGGCGCGTGTCAAAAGGTCGCCGGCGAAAAAAGAGCGCCGACGAAAAAAGGTCGCGAGCAATTAATCGCGCGAAAAAAAGGCGAGTAGGAAAATAGCGCGTAACAATGTTGATATTTCTATTATTATCTTTTATTTTCTTTTAATCCCAATGAAAAACAATCATTGGTCTTAAAGTGTTATAATGAGGGCATCGTAATAAGAAAGGTTTTGTAAAATTTAGTATTCATAGATTTGTTTTGAAAATCTTTATATTGCAGGTAACCTTTTAAAGTATGTCTCTAATACCTATTTATTAAAAAAAAAAGATTTGTTTATTATTAATTTAGATAATTACCAATAAGCATTGGAAAATCAAACTTTCCTTCACACTTTATCCAGGCTTAGGACTGGCAGGTAATATTGCCTGGTGTGTTTTGAAGTTTTTTTAGTTTTTTTAGTTTTTTTACTTTTTTCTAGTTTTTGTTGGTTTTTTTTTTGTATTTTTTTTGTTTTTTATTTTTTGGGGTTTTTATTTCTGAAGTTGAAAGTTATGAGCAATGCCCCTTAAATATTCAAAATTTGGACGATTGCCATATTGTTCACAAATGGATTTTATTCGTTTCGCCGTATCTTTATAATTTTTTTTTCGTTGCAGTTCGTTTCCAGCTATATACTGCTCTACTTTCAAACAATTTAAACTCTCCTCTTTTTTTAGCGTATTGATAAATTTCCATAAATTTGGATGTGCTGCATTTAATATAGAGGAGAAACTGTTGTGCCATCCCTCCACAGAATTATTTGTACGATGTATATCTTCGTCTATAAATTCAAAGCAATCCCACAGATTTCATGAAAATTGCGGTTGTCTCCTCTGGTGTCGTCGATCTAAG